ATTCAGAGCATTTAACAAGTTTTTGATATGACACTCAATGTGACACAATGCAGAAAAATGATTCATGAAGACGATCCCACTTAGTGGGATAGAGGCTTGTTGTTGTTGTTGTATTTAATTAGTTATTTGTTGAACAACAAACGAGTTTATTCATGAATCTTAACAAGTGGGTTGGACTATGTTTAAATTTAATTTATTTAAGCTTAGAGTTTTTAAAAAATGATCAAACTTGTTTATTTACTAAGTTGAACAAACATGATCAAGTATTAATCAAGCCGAGTTGAAGTTGTTCATCAAGTGCATTGGTTCATTACAGTCATATCCAACACCTAAACTTCAATGTTTACATATATACCACCTTGCCTATACTTTAAAAGGTGTATTTTGCTTTTTAGAAGGTAAAATAGTGGTACTTTTGATGTGATATGAAAGATTTGGGTGGTATAAATGTAAAAAGTGGGTGGTATAAATGTAAAAAGTAAATTTTAGGTGCTAGATATGTAAATACATAAGAATTGGGTGGTATGTATGGAAATGCCCATTATTTATTTTGCCATTTTTGAATTGCCGTTATCCTGCCTTCTATCTCTTATTAGGGATCCCCAACTTCCTTCAGACTTTCAAAAAAAGCCTAGTACTTTTGATACAGCTTGCTTTGGCTTTTTAACCATGCAAAAGCTAGAGAATTACATATTTGGGTTTCATGACATGGGAGGGTTAGGACAAAATAAGCATTCTGATTTATGGTTATCATTGTAGCATGCTAAAAAATTAATTCTTCAGAATTTCAAAAAAAGTCTGTTACTTTTGAACCTCTAATGACAGCTTGCTTTATTTTTATAACCATGCAAAAGCTAGGGAATTACATATTTGGGTTTTGATGACATGGGAAGGTTAGAAACAAAATAAGCATTCTGATTTAAGGTTATCATTGTAGCATGCTGAAAAATTAATGTTAAAAGTAAAAATTAGAGGGAGAGCAGAGTGGTGAGTATAATATTTGCCTTTACTGCTTTTCACCCTAGAAAGAATGCCATTTTTAATATCCGATTACTGGAGAAATAAAAGGTGGGCAATAACAATGTCTTGAATAAGAGAAGTCTTGATTTCTATACTATGAAATACATCGTTTAGATATTAGAAAAATGAACTTGAAGCAGCGAACGCCGTTTCGAACTTGGGGTATAAACAAGTCAAGCTTGAGTGAACTTATAGGATGTTTACCTTGGGTCGTTTAGTGTACAAGCCAAAATTTAATGTTTGTGGTAGACTCAGTAACTTATCAAGTAGAGCATGAGCTTTTTTTCAAATAGAAAATGTCGTATAAATTTTAGAATATACATATTGCCACTTAAATTTATACATATACATATAAGCACATAAATATAGGCGCAGATGTGCATACATATACATTTTTTATTGTATAATTCAAACTTAAAAAAATCAAACCATGCCTTATTTGTGTTTGGCTTGTTAAATATACAAGCTTATAAACACTAACTGAATTTGAGCTTATTATCGAGCTGAATATGATTTAACATGAAAAACAAGCTTTTATGATAGCTTTCAGTCATCCATACTTCAGTATCGAGAAAGCCATTAATTGTCCACTGCCAACCATATATTTTTTTTTCTAGAGAATCGAATAATGTAGAACATGACTTTGATTGGGGAAGTACTTTTTCTGATACAATAAATCTTGTTCTGCAACACCCCCCCTCAAGCTTGATTTTTGACATTAAATAATTTGAGCTTGTCTATAATTTTTTTGGATAGTGGAATCGTCAATTCTTTGGTCAATATATATGTAGTTTGTTTTTAGGAGACAATATAGGAAATATAGTTTTCCTTTTTCTGTTTTTTTTTCTCTATTAAAACGTCGACCTTGACTTGTATATTCTAAGAATTCCTTCAGTCGACCTTCCTTTACAATATACTCTTACAACGCCATAACATTCTCATCGTCCCTGGTCTTGCAATTGTGGCTATTATGTTTAAAAAATATTTTGGCTCTGAGCAACTATTACCACATGGTACCGAGCATGATCGCCAAGATTTGATATTGAGTGAGACAGCCAAGCCCGGTCCATTTCTGGAGCATTTCAGGGATTGCCCCCGAAGAGCAGGCCAGTCCCCTTCGGGTCTACTATTTACGAGATATCTAGGAGTTGAATTAGGATATGTTGTGATGAAATCTGTTAGACAATTTTTAATCTAGTTTTATGACATTAGAGGTTTTTTCCTTAAATTTTTCTCAATACTTTTCCTTTTGTAAGTGGTATGCCTTAGCTTGTTTGAGAATAAATGGTAGTTTTCTTCAATGCCTGATGATCCTCGATATCATTATTGGCTATCTCATCTCTTCTGTTTTCCACGGGAGAGCTGGTTTTCATCTTATTTTTCTCTTCTACATCATTGTTACTCCCATATTTATGCTCTTTATTATTCTGCTGGAACATCCCCACTTCCTTTGTGGATCTTGGAACATCATTTAGGAACTTAGATCAGTGGCATTCAGTATCAGAACCATACGCCTTAAACCTTCAGGGATTCATTAACCTCCATTCCAAATCCCAAATCCATATAACCTAAATTATACACTTACACAAGACCCCCTTCTTCACCCTATGCCTAGCTCCTCTCACCTTTGGCCTGTTGTGGTATATATATCTATAATAATAGAAGAACGATAGAGAAATAGAACGAGAAAAATTCACACTAGAAAATAGTAAAACAACGGAACACACAGATTTACGTGATTCAGCAAATTGTCTACGTCCACGGAGTTGCAGAGTATTTTAATACTTGAGGAATTTACACCAGTTGATCGTTTCAACTTACAAGAGGAATCTCTACTTTCTTTCTCTCTCTTCTTTTCTCTCTGCACCGAGATACACCGAAGAAGATAAACTTACAAGAATTACAAGAAAAATAAACCATTTCTCTTCTGCCAAAAGCCACCAAGAAGAAGCCGAGGGAGAACAATCTTTTTCTTTTTCTTTCTTCTGCCGCAAGGAACCACTGCACTTCTTTTACTCTCTCTCTCAGCTTTCGGCCGCAAGCCTTCTGTAGCAGTCTATCGTAGAAGCAGTTGATCATGGCAAGGAAGATGTTGTTCTGTTCGTGACTTATAACAAGCGAAGAGGTGCTTCACTCTGCTGAAACAGGGAAGGCGGGAACGGGCGTAGGTGTGAACAACTTGCGACAGCAGGGAGCGGGAACTGTTCGCGATGTTTTGCGACAGAGGAGTGGGGTCAAGACCTTTCGCGGGAGTGGGAACTGGCGGACGAGTGGACCGGGCTCCATCCAACATGGCCAACCCATAAACCAGCTAAAACCTACCTTTACTGAAATCCTAAGTGGGTAACAAATTATTAGGCCGCCAAGGAGAAATGCCCAAAGAAACGTTTAAGAGCTTATCATGAAGGTTATGCATTTAGAAATCCTTCAATTGCAGTGTGGACTTGTTGATTTTGTGAGAAGACAACATTATTAGTCACCATAAGACATAATGGTGACCAATCGACAATAGAAGAGGAAGAAAACCCCTTCCACCAAGAGGCTTCAAGTGATGAAGAACCAATCTCTCACCAATTCAGCATTGAGCATCGAAAAAGAGCAATTTTCAGGTGTAGATTGATTTATTAGCTTCTGATGGCCCTATTGATTTAGACAAATTCATTGAATGACTCCGAACAATAGAACAAAATTGAGTACAAAGACATTCTGACAGAAGGGTTAAATTTGTTGCTATTTAAACTCATTAAGAGTGTGTACTTATAGTGATATAACCTGAAGTGCTTGCGCTAGCGTGAATGAAATAACAATATTTATACTTGGTTTAAAATGAAGGAGATGCAACACAAATATCTCCCTGTTTTGTACAAACAAGTTGCCTTTTTGAGGCTTCACTATTTACATCTCATGTCTTCCTTTACACTAGATCCTTTTTATAATCTATGCAAACATCTCATAGCTGACCTTGTTTAATCCATCATATCACATTAGGAATTTGCTTGAGGCATAGCATCTAGTTTAGTCGATCAATTTGATGAAATAGTATGAGTTGTTGATTTGTAAGAATTAAGCATAGTTGTTCGATTTAAGTCATTGGAGCATGTCTTGGTTTCTTCATGTTGCCTAGTATACGGCTGATTACTTTGATAACGGTTGACTCTAGTTAGTTTCTAGCATTCTTGTTAAGTAGTCATCCTCTTGTTTCTGATTTGAGGTACATCAGTTCCAACGTCAGACTTTTCTTTGAAAATGGTACTTGGCTGGGGAATGCCGCCCAAGAATATGATTTCACTTTTTGGTGCTGTTTCTTGTGCCATACTCTCAAGTGCATGGCTTCTTTTTGGCTCTTCTTAGGTTGCCCCATATATGGTTTTCACGTTTCCAAGAAAGAAACCATTTTTTTTCATTCTCAACATAGTTGTTTTACTGTTATATATTTTATATCCAAGATTATCAACTTCCCTCAGAATTCAAAGAAGTCTATTTTGAAGCTGCTATTGGCTGTTTGCTTTGATTTCTTAGCTATAGTATGGCTGGAAGATGGTGTATTTGGTTTTCCAGAATATGCTGGTTCAGAACACATGAGGACGTCGTATTGCATCTCGCCATTTAAATAGATACATTTTTCATGTATATGCTAGCATTTTGGTGTTGCCTGAATGTATTTATGTAATGGTTAAGCACAGGGTTTAAGGTGTATGGGTGTTTAATCACTTTTTACTTTTTACGCATAATTTTACTTAGTCAATGGGCAAGTGCATATATACATTTATTTATTTATTTTCCACGAGTTCATATATATATATATATTTCAAGAGCCAACAAATTCCTTATTCTTTAGAATTTGAGGATATTTACATTGTTACAAACACTTATGATTTGGTAGTATCTATTTCATGAAAATTCTTACATGACATTCTCAACTGGGAGCCAGAATGTCTAAATCATAAAAAAGGTTTGATTTGTGCTTGAAAATTTTGTAGGATTGTCGCCGAAGGTTTGATAAGGCTTCATCAAGTTATGATCAGGTACTATTTTTCTTTTATTGGCTTGAACTTTCTTTTTTTTTTTTTTTTGAAGTCTTTCAATCATGCCAAGATAGCCTTGACGTTTCTTAGATTCTAGAGTGGCATTTTTCTTCAACACTTAGTAGTGCTTTTGGTTTTCGCTATGAGATTATTGTCATCAGGTACATCTATTGTTTAATGCCATCTATGAGTACAATGAAAATGGTAAACAAATTTGAACATTTCTCGAACTTCTATGTTCACTTTTGATGGTGCTTGATGAAATATGTTTAATCAATGCTAATCCAGGGTTTCCGATCTGAATCTGTTTGTCCAATCTAGATCATCCACAACATCGATCTCAGAGCATTTATATTAATTCAAATGCCCTATTAAGATCTACTTTTTTACAACACTATTCTCAGTACTCGAGATCTTCTACTCCTAAACTCAACTTTTTTGTGCCTGTTCTCTCTCAGAGGAATGGTTCCATGATTTTAGAAAACAATGAAATGAACCATTAAGTAGGAGCGACATACTATTGTTGAAATTTAAGCTTATTCAACTGAGATATATACTTCACAAAATGTGCTAAGAATAAGAAAAACACAGAAGACCAAGTTCAGCTGTGATGTGCATGACAGATCACACATGAAATATTTACATGAAATGTCTACTACATCTAAATACTAACCAAGTGGAAGGGATGATGGATTTTAGGACTATTTCAACTATAGTGTAATTGTGACATTGATATTTAAAATTTATTGATTATATTTAGATTTACAGCTTCTATATGCATATAATTTTGAGCAGTTGTCTTGAGGTTGTTTGAAAGTCAATGGTTACATTATGGTTGTTTCTAATTTATCCTTAAATCGTATTCTTCATGACAGTCATGGATTTTAGTTTTACCTGATCTGTGCTTTTTGTGGCTTTATCGACTGGTGTATTTTTCATTAAAATTTAACACTTGGGACATCAGGTGCTTACTTAAATTAGATTTTGTTAGGTACGTGATAAATTCATGTCTCTTAAGAAGGGCTCCAAAAAAGACGTGGTCACGGAACTTGAAGAGGTAAGTCCTTCTCAAGATGTTTCATTTTTGATAAAAAAACTCAATGTCTTATTTAGTATCTAATTTATTTGTTGAACTGTCTTTTTTTTTTCACTTTCAGGATCTACACAACTCAAAATCATCTTTTGAAAGATGCCGGCTTAACCTAGTATGTTCTATCTTTAAGTTTTTTCATTATAGAGAATCTCGAATGTTTTAATTTTATAATTATCATTATCCCTACCTTTTTTTTTTTGAATTTGTGTGTTTTAAGGAATTCAGGTTAACGCTCTTGCTAGTTTTGACGCAAAGAAGAAGTATGAGTTCCTTGAATCTATTAGTGCAGTAATGGATGCTCATCTGAGATATTTTAAGCAGGTTTTTGTTTGCTCATTACCAAATGTTTGCCTTTGATTTGCAATATTTGGTTTCTCGTACTTTAATATCTTTTCATGGGACAGGGGTATGAGCTGTTGAACCAATTGGAGCCTTTTATTCATCAGGTAAAATATTAAGAGGCATTTACATGCATACCACACAATTCTTATATATTTACATTTCTAACACCTATACATTCATATTTACATGTAGACAACTTAAGGGTCTGTTTGGGGCAACTGCAGTTTATTGGATAATCTGTTGATAAGCAAATTAAAAATAATCTGCTGATAAGCTAGGTGTGGTGACTATTAAAAATTTTTATTTTTCTGGAAAAGTCAAACCGTTGCCAGAAAGCTGCCACCGCACGTTGTTTTCAGCGTTTTGAAAACGCATAAGTTGTCAAAACGCAGTTTACCCAAACATGCGAGGTGCGTTTTCAAAATGCCACCACACCAAATAAACTGCCCCAACCAGACCTTAAGTTTTTAACATCACATAAAAATACCACTCATTACCTTTTCAAAAGTGGAATATATCTTTTCATGTATAGGTTTATGACCCCAAGGTGTTATAAGTGTAAATTTCAAACTTCAGGTATTAAATATGTAAATACATAAGAATTGTGTGGCATGTATGTAAATTCACCAAACATAAATTTGGCTGGAGTAACGTCACTCCCTATCATCGCCCCACACATTTTGTAAAACTTTTCTTGGTCTGCAAGTAGGTTTTAGCATATGCACAACAATCAAAGGAAATGGCCAATGCTGAACAAGACAAACTTGAAAGGAGGATTCAGGAGTTCAGGACTCAGGCTGAGCTGGCGAGCTTAAGAGCATTAAGCCATGCAGAAACCTCAACAAGTGGCGATGGTAATCTTTTAGCTGGCAGTAATTCATACAAAAGTATAGAAGCTCTAATGCTATCTGCTGCAAATGGACCGGTATTGGTTATTCTGAGCTAGCTTTAACTCCTGCCTTTTGATTTATCTTCTTCTTCGCTACACTTTTGACATCTGTTTTAACCGTTTATGACAGTTTAGGGTGAGCATTCAGTCAATCAGTTTAGATGATTTGGTTTTAAAATTGATCAAATTGACTGTAACCAAAATCTAAAACTTGAAAAACCAAATCAATCGAAATTTTGATAATACCAAACAAACCGAATGAATTTAATCCGGTTTAAACTATTCTGTTATGAACAAACCAAAATTTAGTTGTTATTTGGAGATTGTTTATGAACGAACATCAAGATTTACATATCTTACATGTATAATATCGATTTAATTTCATGAAACCTCCAGATAAATTCAAATTTTTGGTTTTTTAGTTTGTTCGGTAAAATGGAAATTAAGACCGCACCAAAAACTGAAAAACAAATCTTGTGGTTTTAAAAACAAAAAAAAAAACGAAATGCATTTTTAAAACTGGACCGAATCTACCAAACTTGTTTGGTTTAGTTTTTTGATTTGGCCGAATAATGCAAACACCATTCACAGGGTAGTTCTTTTTTATTCAGTTGAGATTTGTTGCTTCTGAATTGGTTTGATAGGGTGCTGTTTTACCATTCTTTCATCTTCCAGGTTCAAACAATAAAGCAAGGATATCTTCTGAAACGCTCATCTGGTTTGAGAGCAGAATGGAATAGAAGGTTTTTTGTGCTTGATAGTCATGGGGCATTGTACTACTACAGACACAAGAACAACAAACATCTGGTATTTTATATGGTTTAGTATACTTTATCATCTAATCTTTAATCCTAATCATGTTTCTGACATCTTCCTATTGATTGTGCCATGTTGGTTTGTTAAACCAGGCTGCATATTGTTTTGAGCACGTATATGCTTCAAACATAATCATGCCATCATGTACGTGATGTTTTAGAGATTTCTGCCCATCATGACATATTTTTTTTACACTAAATGAGGTTATGATGGATGTCTAGCTAAGTGTTATTTCTTCACCAACTTAAGATGCTTTTGCTATTCTTATATTGTGATGATTACATAAATGATTGTTTGGGCAGAGCCAACCCCTCCTCGCAAGCCTTTCAATGTTTAAGAGAAAAGTTGGGAAGTTTTTCTTTAGGGGGATTAGATTTATTAGTTAACCATATTTTCTTTGATTAAAATTTATTTAGATCGTGGGTCCAAGTGTTTTTGTGGACAAGAGCATTTATAGTGAATTTTCTCTCACTCATAGGAGAGCACTTTTGAATAAAGAAGGTTGTTTTGGATAATATTTAGACTTGATTTCAATATGTTTGAAGTTAATTAATGAGAACTCAATCAAGATACGATGGTTCTGTCAACTTGACTATCAACTTGACTGCGCTAACCTATCTATTTTCTTAAAGTTAGAGGGCTATATGCTATAATTAACATCTAGATAATTTGATTAGCAACTATGTGCTGACCCTAACTTAGCTTCGTCACTTAAACTATGTTGGAAATGTTTGTATGGTTGGCGTTTGAGGTTGGAATCAATTTATTTATTGTTAGGGGGCCTGCCATTTTAATTTCATTGAATAATATAGAGGAACAAAGCATCACCTTTGGCAGTTTGGATGTACTAGAATGACCAATACGAGGTTAGAGGCATGACTTGATCATAAATTATTTAGGAGTGTCTTCTTAACTCTAAGAAGCCTGTTTTTTATGCATATGAGATTCAAATGGTAGGTGTGGTTTTAGTTGACAGAATTGATTTTGATTGGTGGTCGTATTAGCATGAGAGCTCACCTAAGTTTAGGTTGGGTTTGTGCTTGGAGCCATTGGAGGGGTTGAGGTTCGATTTAATGTGTTTGTTGGCATTTTTCCGTACCAAATTGATAGGGATGGAACTTAGATTTGCTAAAGACCTTGACGCGAGTGTCTGCCTGTTATGTGGGACATCTAGGCGCATCCAAATTTTTGAAGAGTCGGCCGACCCTCCAAGCCAGGAAACTGCTGGCCAATTGGAGCGGTGTCACTCCTAAATATCTAGGGCATATATATTTCGCCTTTGTTGTGTTTAGGCTTCTGTTTTTTGCTGTTTATTTCTGGACCACCGCAAGCATCTCTCTTTTTCTTTCTAGAGCTTTATCCAAGGGTTCCGAGTGTTGCTTCTACTATATCTCATTTCCGAGATAGTGTTTATCTTTCTAATGCCATCCTCATCCCTTTCCTACACCAGTTTACTTCCCCTAGCCACCCACCTTGCTGCCACCCCGAAGAAAAATCACCCAACTGATGTTTTTCCTCATCACGACGGCCTGCCGGTCTCAACTCAACCTTTCCAGTCAGCCCCTCCTTCCTCCTTGCTGCCGTCACCTAGAAACGCCTTTTCCGCTGCTCTTTAATTACTACAAAGCCCCAAAAATTTCGCAAACCTGCTGTTTTCCCTTCCCTCTTGCTGCGCCATCTTCCAAACCCCTAGCCGACATCGCCAACACCATCGATCCAACCCTAGTTCTAGGTTGTGTATTGTGTTTGTTGCAATTTCAGATTTTTACTTGTGTTGTTGCAATTTTCTATTTGAATTCAGCAATAATATTTGTATTTTATCGGTGTTTGGTTAAACTCCAGTGCCATTTGGTATCAAAGTTAGTCTATCTTAGGGTTATCACACTTCACCCAAAAACCCTTTCCCCTCTTGTTGATTTTACAAATCAGCCATCAAATTTTTTTCTCATTCTAAACCGCCTCACACGCCCCCTTTCACCTCCCAAATCTAAACCCTTTCCATGCCACCAAGGAGACAAGTGTCGGATGCCATTCAAGAACTTACCATTGAAGAGATGCAATGGGAAATTCGCCGATTTCAGCAAAGACTCGCTAAATAGAGAAATCACTGTTAATTGAGATAATAGGATTCATGGAGACGACGAAAGTTGAACCCTTTCTATAGAGAGGATTCCAGTGAAGTGGAGAATTAGGCTACAACGTTTGAAGATTCAGTATCAGAGGAGGCCAAGGGATAGGGTTACTTTTGGAGGATGGTGAGATCTCGGAGTGAAGATACACTTATCAAATTTTCTAGGGAAGAATCAATTCAAATGACTTCATTGTTTGGTTGCAAACTATCGAAATGATTTTTTAGTACAAGAATGTGCCAATTGATAGGAGAGTGATATTTGCAGTTATAAAGTTGAAAAAGAGTGCCTCTGTATAGTTAAATAATCTGAAGAGAGAGAGAGAAGTCGGAACAATATCACTAGTTGGGAGAAAATGGAAGAGATAAATAGGAAGTACCTCTTCCTATACTAACGTCAAAATATGTTAAAACTACACCACCTACAACAAAGACAATTATCATTAAAGTTCACGACAGAGTTTGAGCAGTTTATGCCGAAATGTGAGCTGCCAAAGCCAATTGAGCACATTAAAGCAAGATTTTTGGGAGTTCTAAAGTCATCCACCAATAATGTTGTTAAGCTACAACCTTGTTAGTCATTGGGTGATGTTCAGACCTTGACAATGAAGGTGGAGATAATAGAAGCAGAGCAGACACCCACCTCCATTCAACGACCATCTTGAGCTGGACGTAGCAATAGGAGCACACCTGGGGGAGTTGTGAAGACTAGGCAGGGGAATGACAACTGATTAATGTGGGAAAAAGCCTGAGAATTGTAGCACGCCTAGCACAGTTCCAGCTAGGAAATTCTTTAGGTGTCTTGGATACAAATACATTCCCTACAAGTAGTGTTGTTTTTTTCACCGACTAGGGTACAGTGGAGAAGGTGAGTGAGGAGGTAGCAAAAGAGAGCAGGGTGAGGAGTATCGACTTTATGGAGATGAGGGTGAGATGTTAATTGTGAGGAGGGCTCTACACAATGAACCAAAGAAGGTTCACTCTTGATTGAGACAACATATTTTCGCACCGTTTACTGTGAGAGAAAATCTACGCGACATTGTTATTGATGGAGGGAGCTTTGAGAATGTGGTTTCAACTTTTATGATAAAGAAGTTGGGTTTGGCTCCTCAGAAGCATTCTCAACCCTATTCTCTAACCTAGTTTAAGAAGGGGAATGGTATATGTGTGGATCAACAATGTTTGGTAGAGTTCTCTATTGGGGAATAACTGAAGGATCAGATGTGTTGTGACGTTGTGCTCGTGAATGTCTGTCACATTTTATTGGGAAGACCGTAGCAGTCTGATCGTGAGACTCAACATGATGGGTTCAAAAACACTTATACATTCACGAAGGAGGGGAATCACAATTTTTTTGCCTTTTAGTCATTCCGGAGGAGCAGACACTCACGTTACAGAAGAAATTGTGGCCCCACGTGCCACCTTTTTGCAGTCAGCACGGGAGGCCCTAGTGGTGGTGGCCTTAGTCATCTTAGAGGGGACTAAGGAGGAGCCCGAGCTACTAGAGATGATGCAAGCACTACTAGACGACTTCCAAAATTTGATGACCGATAGCTTACCCGAGGGACTACCACCACTTAGAGACATTCAACAAACTATATATCTTGTCCCTGAACCGGTGTTACCTATCAGACTTGCTTACAGATTAAGTCTAATTGAGTACGAGAAGTTGCAACGACAGGTGCAAGATCTTATTGCTAGAGGGTTGCTGAGGGAGAGCACCAGTCCATGTGTTGTTTTTGCTTTGATGGTTCTTAAAAGGGATAGTTCATGGAGGATGCATATTGATAGTCGAGCTATCAATAAAATCACCATTAAGTACATATTTTTTGTACCTCGCCTGGTTGACTTATTGGATCAGTTGCATGGAGCCGTTGTCTTTTATAAAATTGATTTGTGCAGTGGATATCAACAGATTAGGATGAGGTCAGGGGATGAATAGAAGGCCACCTTCAAGACCAGAGATAAGTTATATGAGTGGATATTCATTCCCTTTGGGCTATTTGGCACACCTAACACTTTCATGAGGCTGATGAATCATGCATTCTAGGCTTACATTGGAAAGTTTGTAGTTGTAACTTTGAGGAAATCTAGTCTAAAACAAATCTAAGGAGTACTTGTATCATCTAAGAATGGTCATTGGGGTTCTTTGGTTGCAGAAGTTATATGCACACTGGAAGAAGTGTGACTTTATGACAACATATATATACTTTTTAGGTATATCAAATCCAATGAACCTTATAACTATAGAGGCTATTGTGAGTTCAATACTCCCACAGGACTTACAGAGCTGAGACAATTTTTGGTACTGACATCCTTGTATAGGAGATTCATCAGGAGCTTCAACACCATTACGACTCCCCTGATAGAGCTCTTAAAAGGAGAGCAGTTTCAGTGGACAAAGGTAGCTCAGTCCAACATTGACATCTTCAAGAAGAAAGTAATTTGGGCCTTAGTATTAGCTCTACGAGATTTTAGTTAGTTGTTTTAGGTAGAATGAGATTTTTCTAATATAGGGATTGGAGCAGTATTGAGCTAGGGTTGACACCCCATAGGCTTCTTTAGGGAAAAGTTGAGTGACTCATGGAGGAAGTATTTAACATCTGATAAAGAGTTCCATGCTATTGTGAGAGCTTTTAATCATTGGAGTCACTACCTATTGAATAACGATTTTATCTTATTCACGGATCATAAGGCTCTGAGGTTCTTGAATCATTAGGTCAAGTTGAAGGGCAAATATGCTTCCTAGGTTGAGTTTGTGGCATAATTTCAGTTTGTGCTCAAGCACAAGGTAGGGAGTCGGGTATGAGTAGCAAATGCCTTGAGTCATCACCACTTACTACTAATCACCTCCATGCAGGCTAGAGTTGTGGGATTCGAGATGGTGAAGGAGCTATAAGAGTCAAATAAGGACTTCAAGGAGATTTGGGATTTAGTGTCAGGAGAGACCTATAGAACACTACCACAAATTTGATGGCTATCTATTCCACCATAACAAGTTGTGTCCCTAAATTTTCGTTGAGAGAGTCTATCATACATGAGAGTCACAACGGGGGATTAATATGTCATTTTAGCATAAACAAGACACTCGTGAGGGAATATTTTTTTCCGGCCTAGACTAACGAGATTTGTGGAGAGGTATGTCAGGCAGTGCAGTGTTTGACATCTAACAAAAATCAGAAGACAGAATATAGGACTATACACACTATTACCAGTACCACAAACTATGTATGGATGTTAGTATGGGTTTCATTGTGGGTCTTCCTAGGACACAGAGGAATAAGGATTTGGTGATGATAATGGTTGACAGGTTCTTGAAGATAGCTCGTTTCGTACCTTGCCACAGGATAATAGATGCATCACGTGTAGTTGACTTGTATTTCAGGGAGATAGCGAGGATCAGCATCAGGAGAGTCCTACAGGACAGTACCATGGATCTGATGACTATATGTTCCCCTGAACAAATTGTGTCCTCAGATTTTCATTGAGAGAGCCATCATATAGTAGAGTCACAATGGGGGATTAACCGATTATTTTGGCTGTGACAAGACAGCTGCACCTGTAAGGTAACATTTTTTTTTGGCTTAGACTGATGAGAGATGTGGAGAGGAATGCCAACCAGTGCAGAGTTTGTCATCAGTCAAAAGCTTGAGAGTAGAATACAGGGCTATACACACCATTACTAGTACCAGAGGCACCATGGGTGGATATTAGTATGAATTTTATCGTTGGGTCCTCTTAGGTCAACAAAATAAGGATTTGGTGATGATAGTGGTTGATAAGTTCTCGTAAGTGGCTCATTTCGTACCTTGTTGCATGATATAAGAGCTATCACATGTAGCTGACTTGTATTTCAGGGAGATAGTGAGACTGCATGGGATACCATTGCTTCTAATAGAGATGTCAAGTTTCCGAGTCGCTTTTGGATGATCTTATGGAGGAAGCTTGGTACTAAGCTTCAGTTCAACTCAGCAGCTCACCCACCGACAAATGGTCAAAGCAGTGCTTAAAACCAAAATTCTTACCTAAGTCCAAAATATCCTCTAATCTTCTCCTTTCCCTTCTGCCCTAACTCATCAAAGCTCTCTGTTTCACGGACTGGAGTTACGGAAAATGAATGAATGGCTGAGTTAGTGCTTTAATGATATAATACATCCAAACCTAATATTCTATTATAAAATCTTTACAACAACAAGGCTTTATTGCACTAAGTGGGATCAGCTACATGAATCCTTTTCTCCATTGCGTCCTATTGAGGAATTGTGGATTACTGTGCATCCACAGTGAATTAAATCATATGAACAGTAACATTAAATGGACTTTGGGCAATTATTTGTATTCATGAATTAATTTTATAAAGGCATATATGCTAATATATGGACAATACATCTATATCAAAATAATTATAGAAAAATATGAATTTTAAAAAAATGTTTTTAGTATTTTCTTGATTTACGAAAATTGAGGTATGAATGTTTTTTAAATTATTTTGATCTTGCCTCTTTATATTTTTGGGTATCACAACAAAAGAGCAAAAAATTTGAGTGTCTTATTTGATTTTTAATTTGTCTTCTAAAAGTTCTTTTAGTTTGTCCTTTTATGGACAGAACCCCTGAGAATTGTTACTATATTTTTATTTTAGTTAGTCATTTAATATAAATGTATTTTTAAGCTAGTAACTTCTCAGGTTGGAGATAACATGGGGAGTCGTACATTTGATCTTCATACTTCAACAATTAAGATTGATGCTGAACAAACAGATCTCAGATTTTGCTTCAGAATAATTTCACCACTTAATACATACACTTTCCAGGTAACCCCCGATATATGATTTTTTTTTCATCTGTACCTTTTATAGTAAATTGAAGAATGGGATGCCAACATCTACTATTTATTTGTACATGATGTTTCGTTTATTCTAAAACTTAGATGTTTATACCACCATTTGCTTGCACAGGCGGAAAGTGAAGCAGATAGGTTGGACTGGGTTGATAAGATTAAAGGAGTTATTGCATCACTTCTGAATTCTTCACTAACAAAGCAGGTTCTCCACCAAATTTCTTCCAATATTGATAACTTTTTATTCTTTTTTAGTTTCTATGGATGCTTATGCTTAAGCAATTTCTTAAACTTGAAGCAGACCACCCAATTCCTATGTATACCATCCAATTCCCATGTATTTTTACATATCTAACACCTCAACTTTACTTTTGACATTTATACCACACAAATTTTTCATATCACATTAAAAATACCACCATTTTTAAGTTTTGAAAAGTTTAATACACCTTTATATGCATAGCCAAGGCGGCATGTATGTAAAAATTGAAAGTGATAGATATGTAAATACATAAGAATTGAGTGGTATGCATGCAAATCTTCCTTTGGTGATCTACTTTCTATATATCGATACACCTTGACTAGTTGAGTTATTTCTTTTCACACAGCTTTCGATGGGAAGTACCGATATGCATAATAGCAGGTTCTCTGGCAGCTGTGAAGTTTCATTGCTGGCTGGTGGAGTGAATACTAAGGGATTTGATAATGTCTCTAAGATTCTCAGATGCATTCCAGGAAATGAAGCTTGTGCAGAATGTGGCGCTCCAGAGCCCGACTGGGCTTCATTGAATCTTGGAATCCTTATGTGCATCGAATGTTCAGGGATTCATAGAAATTTTGGTGTACATATATCAAAGGTGAGATTTTCTAAAAGTGCAATATGGTTATTTTTACCATGGCTACCAAATATTGATTATGAATAGCAGAGAAACATTTTTTTTCTTGCAAATGTCCGAATCTGATTGAAGATTTACATACATACCACCTCGTTCTTACTTATTTACATATCCAACGCCCAAATCTTAATTTTTACATTTATCCCACTCAACTTATGCATGAAAAGGTGTACTGCGCCTTTTAAAAGTCAAAATAGTTCTATTTTTTATGTTTGATGAAAGATTTGGGTAGTATTGATGTAAAAAGTAAAGTTAGGTGCTAGATATGTAAATTCAAAGGAATTGTGTGGTATGTATGTAAATGCCCCTATCTTATTTGGTTATAATTTTTTTATATCGTTTGGTTAAATCTGTACATTTTGAGTATTATATGCAAATGTGGTTAACTAAGCAATTTACATATGCACTTGAATCATACCATTTTGAAGAGGTAATTATGCACTTAATTTTTTAGAATCTATTTATTAATTGTTCTTAAATTAGTTGTAGAGCGAATGCTTCAATTATCAACTTGGAAATCAAATTGTTGGTGAGGCTTGGTGTTAGACCAGCGCCTATGGGATCGTTTGCCTCATGCCCCACTAAGTCAACGCCAAGACCGCTAAAATAGTTTGAAGACTTATGTTAGGTGTAAGTCTACGATGGCAATTTAGTTATTTCTTAGCTATTACTGTGGTGTATAAATAGTGCTTAATATGTTTAGGATTAATTTATGTGATGTGTGTGAAGGTTGTCTTGAATCTTAGTTTTAGGGTTTGGGAGAGATTATCTACCTCTCAAATTATGGGTGTTTATATTTTATGCATTTGGATGGTGTTATTTGTTGTTGGTGAAGAAAAATATTTTATTTAGCCTTAATTTATATAAAGTTCCATCAAATTGTTATTAGAGCATTTGATATATAGGAAGCCAATGACGGGATCACGGCGTACAGGGCTTCGCCTTCATCACCGACCACGCGATACAACCACAATTCGAGCTGTTGGGAAACCAATGATGAGATCACTATACATTGCAGAACGACGGGATAGCCTTCGTGACCGAACCTTGTGATACAGTCACCTTTGTGACTGAACCTCGTGATCGTGGTGTACAAGAGTTTTGCCTTTGTGATTGAAAACATTTCTGGGAGTAATGATGACCAAGAAAATATATGCATTGAGGAGAAATTACAGGGAGAGTTGAGCCAAATCAGATTTTGAGTAGAGGAGTGTTTCTCGGCAATAGAAGGACGGTTATCATCCATGAAAGGAGATTCATGGCCCTGTGAGAAATGATGAAGAAGATTGTGGAGTTTCATGAAAAACCGCCGCCACTCATTATAAGATCGAGCGCCAACTTTTGGGGCGCAAGCGAGCAGCAACAATTAGAAGGATTCGATCGGCATCAAGGTAACACCACTGATTTAAGCGAATCTTGAGCCGCAGGATCGAGCAAATGAATCCAGAGTGAACTCTAGCCGCAACGTTTAAAAGGACTAGTGTGACATCTAGGCAGTTGACACGAACGGAAGCAAGCAGGATCAAGTGAAAGAGTCCCGAGCAGATTCAAATAGCAACATCTAGAGAAAATTACATGACATTTGAAGGTTTGGTACGAGTGGGAGATGGTGTGCTATTCGAGGCTAGATAAAATTGGTTCGAAGCATTTCAGCCTGGAACAGGGGACCATGATGGGTGGGACCCCGACAGAGGACTGCATCCAGCCGCGCCAGTTTTCTTTTATTATGACAACCTTCTCGATAGATCAAGAGCCAATGGGGACGACCTAGCTAATTATCGGGGAAGCCAAACTTATGGGGAAATCAATATGGGTTGAGGAGGGTGGAATGAGCTTCAGTCGAGAAAATTGGAGAGGAGGCTCAAGTCTAAGGAAGCTGAAGGTTCAGAGGAGAAGATGCCTATAGTTTGGTTTATTGCATGGAGAGATAATTTGCTGCGAATGAGCTGACAGAGGAAAAAAAATTGATGGTCGCGCCTTGTGTTTAGAAGGGAAGGCTTTAGCGTGGTGTCAATGGAGATAACAATATCAACTAATCATAACAGAGGAAGAATTGAAAGAACAGTTGTTCGGAAGAGCATTTACACAAGCAATTTCTTACATTAGTCAAGGAAGGGTATGTTATGGAGCATAGAGAAAAAATTGAGATGCTACACGGTCATTCGTTCAAGGACCACATTAATCCTTTGAAGGTGTTGACGATACTCGTGGTGTCGACAAACCCATCGAATGTGGCTTCTTTGTTGGATTGGCCACTACCTAAGATTTTGAAGGCTTTGATAGAATTTCTGGGATTTGCAGAATACTACCGGAAGTTCATGAAGGGTTACAATTCAATTGGGTGGCTGTTGGAGACGGATAACTTTCATTAGATTTTGAGAAGTTTAAGGCCATGACGAGTGTACAAATGTTGTCGGTATCTGATTTCAACCAATCATTCATTGTAGGGACAGATGCTTCAAGCTATGAGTTACATGCAGTCCTCATGCCGTGTTAATTGCCCATCACTTATTTCAGTCTAGTGCTGACAGTGAGAGACAGACTCAAGTCAGTTTATGAGTGGGGGTCATACGACTTGATCCAGCAGGAGTTTCCTATCTTTCATTTTTAGGACAATGTATCTTTTGGGAGGGGAGTAATGTTAGACCGGCATCAACTACACCATCCACCTCATGCGCCACTAAAAGTTGATGCCTAGCCGGCCAAACTAGTTTGAAAAATTATGTTAGGCGTAAGACTGAAAGGGCAATTTAGTCATTTGTTAGTTATTATTGTAGGGTATAAATATGGTTTAATATGTTTAGGGTTAAGTTATGTGATGTGTCTGATTGATGTATTGAATCTTAGGGTTAGGATTTGGGAGAGATCGCATGCCTTCGTGACCGAACCTTGTATAAATAGGCATGAGGACTGCATCTTCCCAACAATTCGAGCAGTTGGGAAGCCAACGATGAGATCACTATACATTGCAGAACGACGGGATAGCCTTCGTTACCGAACCTTGTGATATAGTCGCCTTTGTGACTGAACCTCGTGATCGTGGTGTACAAGAGTTTTGCCTTTGTGATTGAAAACCTTTCTGGGAGTAATGATTACCAAAAAAATAGATGCATTGAGGAGGAATTACAAGGAAAGTTGAGCCAAATCAGATCTTGAGTAGAGGAGTGTTTATCGACAATAGAAGGACGGTTATCATCCATGAAAGGAGATTCATGGCCCTGTGAGAAATGATGAAGAATACTGTGGAGTTTCATGAAAAACCGCCGCCACTCATTATAAGATCGAGCGCCAACTTTTGGGGCGCAAGCGAGCAGCAACAATTAGAAGGATTCGATCGGCATCAAGGTAACACCACTGATTTAAGCGAATCTTGAGCCGCAGGATCGAGCAAATGAATCCAGAGTGAACTCTAGCCGCAACGTTTAAAAGGACTAGTGTGACATCTAGGCAGTTGACACGAACGGAAGCAAGCAGGATCAAGTGAAAGAGTCCCGAGCAGATTCAAATAGCAACATCTAGAGAAAATTACATGACATTTGAAGGTTTGGTACGAGTGGAGGCAAGCAGAATGAGATGGTGTGCTATTCGAGGCTAGATAAAATTGGTTCGAAGCATTTCAGCCTGGAACTGGGGACCATGATTGGTGGGACCCCGACAGAGGACTGCATCCAGCTGCGCCAGTTTTCTTTTATTATGACAACCTTCTCAATAGATCAAGAGCCAATGGGGACGACCTAGCTAATTATCGGGGAAGCCAAACTTATGGGGAAATCAATATGGGTTGAGGAGGGTGGAATGAGCTTCAGTCGAGAAAATTGGAGAGGAGGCTCAAGTCTAAGGAAGCTGAAGGTTCAGAGGAGAAGATGCCTATAGTTTGGTTTATTGCATGGAGAGATAATTTGCTGCGAATGAGCTGACAGAGGAAAAAAAATTGATGGTCGCGCCTTGTGTTTAGAAGGGAAGGTTTTAGCGTGGTGTCAATGGAGAGAACAATATCAACTAATCATAACAGAGGAAGAATTGAAAGAACAGTTGTTGGAGCATTTCAGAACTATTTCGGAAGAGCATTTACACGAGCAGGAAGGGTATGTTATGGAGCATAGAGAAAAAATTGAGATGCTACACGGTCATTCGTTCAAGGACCACATTAATCCTTTGAAGGTGTTGACGATACTCGTGGTGTCGACAAACCCATCGAATGTGGCTTCTTTGTTGGATTGGCCACTACCTAAGATTTTGAAGGTGTTGATAGAATTTCTGGGATTTGCAGGATACTACCGGAAGTTCGTGAAGGGTTACAGTTCAATTGGGTGGCTATTGGAGACGGATAACTTTCATTAGGGGGAAGCGGTGACCCAAGATTTTGAGAAGTTAAAGGCCATGACGAGTGTACAAATGCTGTCTGTATCTGATTTCAACCAATCATTCATTGTAGGGACAGATGCTTCAAGCTATGGGTTAGATGCAGTCCTCATGCCGTGTTAATGGCCCATCACTTATTTCAGTCTAGTGCTGACAGTGAGAGGCAGACTCAAGTCAGTTTATGAGTGGGGGTCGTACGACTTGATCCAACAGGAGTTTCTTCTCTTTCATTTTTAGGACAATGTGTCTTTTGGGAGGGGAGTAATGTTAGACCGACATCAACTACACCATCCACCTCATGCGCCACTAAAAGTTGATGCCTAGCCGGCCAAACTAGTTTGAAAACTTATGTTAGTCGTAAGACTGAAAGGGCAATTTAGTCATTTCTTAGTTATTATTGTAAGGTATAAATAGGGTTTAATATGTTTAGGGTTAAGTTATGTGATGTGTCTGATTGATGTATTGAATCTTAGGATTAGGATTTGGGAGAGATGCCTCTCGAATTATAGATGATTTTCGTTTATACGTTTTGATTGTGTTGTTTTGTGCTGGTTAAAAAAAATAGTTTATTTTGCTCTAATTTCTGGCGAAGTTCCTATCATTTGGCTATGCAATATGCGAGCAATCAAATTAAGTAATTATTGGGATGAAAGAGTTTACACATTGTTTTAAATTGTTTTAATGAATTTAAAATCTAAAAATGGTTAGTTATTCATGTTGAGCATTTCGTGAGGACCTTCTATACATGTTATTTTGATCTATCACTTTACCTTCTTAATCCTTTCTTGTTAATTTTATTTGCTCGTTTATTGGTGGATTTCTTAGCCTTCGTTGTGTTATCAAACTACCAAAATATATGTTTGTTACAAATTTATTTTCATGTACTTCTATTCTCATTGTCACTCTTAGATAACCTTTCATTAATACATACTTTGTAGTTTTATAATATATCGATCTTATCATTCTTATTATTAGCATGAATGATTTATTTTAATTCGTGTTGGATTTTATTAGTAGCTAGACTATTCTTGAATCTCTGAGGAATTTCCTTATAATTAGTTTATTTTGCATTTCATAAAAGTTATTCATGATTAATTTAGGTCAGATCTCTTACGTTAGATGTAAAAGTATGGGAACCAGTCATCATGGATTTATTTCAAGCTTTGGGTAATTCTTACTGCAATTCGGTGTGGGAAGAAGCACTTTTTCTTCATGATAAGAGGTAAAATTTCTATGCAAAAGATTCTCATGAAATTTTTATATTTCAAATATTCATATGATGTAGAAAGATTGCATTTTAACAAAAATAAATAAATAAATTGCAAATATTACATTTAGTTTCTATTTGTCAGGGTGTTATATAGTCATCAACTTATTGCTAACTAAACGTTGTTGTCCTTCAAAATTTACAATATGGGCAGATGGGAAAAAGGTAAGCCTGCACAAATTTTTTTGGGGCCATTCACGTGCATAGCACAATTCTTATATATTTGTATATCTCACACCTAAACTTTCATATTTACTTGCGTAGCACTCAAATCTTAAATATTACATAGAAAATTATTACTTTTTAAAAGTGAAATGCTCCTTTTCATGCATAGATTTAAAGCATTAAAGAGCTATGTATGTTAATATGTATGTTTTGGTGTGAGAAATGTAAATACATATGAATTGGGTGCAACGTCGGTAAATTTTTTTCATAAGTGGGAGCAATTTTCTTCAGATACAGTTATGAGTAATTGTTGATTCAAAATAAATCTCTTTTTTTAAAATGCACTTGGAAAACCATCTTAATGATACATGTATCTGGATAATGACAACTTGGCCAAAATGTTGTGCTGATAAATTTCATATTTTAAAAAAACGTTTTATGAAAACTAATTTGTATTTATTAGTTTTTGTTAGAAATCCAACTCATTGCTATCTGGGATTGTTTACCCAGCCAGCAGCCAATGGGAAAAAAAGTATATCAAGATATACTGATCTAAAGAAAATTTTGATCTGTTTTAAGATGAGTGATATTGACCACTTTTTTGGTCAAAGTATCCTGATATAACTTTTTTTGAATTAAACGACCGGAAGTTTTTTTTTTTTTGTATTGCTTATGTGGTTATTTGGTTTCCATACACGGAATTCTAACTATGGAAAATTTTCATAATATTTAGAGTTTTATTGTAAACATGCAACATGAATTTAGTGATGAACATTCTATTCTTTATTTTTGCACGATTACTTCAACATTTGCCATACATATTTACTTTGGGCTTGTTTGGATCAATTTTATTTTATTATTATTTTTTTATTTTTTCTTTTATTTTAAAAAAAATATTCGTTTAGAGTGTTTTTTACGTGTTATTATAATTTTTTTCTAAATATAAATTAATATGTTTTTGAAAACAGTCAAAATAATTTAGGTGTTTTGAGTGTTTTTAAAAATAATAACATTTTAATTATATTGTTAAACATGTTTTGTTTCAAATCAAAATATAAACAAAATAAAATGAAATTTTAAAAACAAAAGTTATCCCAAATGGCCCCTTAGGACTTATTTGGGTTCATTTTTTTTCTTTTTTTATTTTAAAAACATGTTTGTTTAGTGATTTATCTGCATATTTTTATTTTTTTTAATAAATTAATTTGCTTTAAAAACACTCAAAACATCCATGTATAGAAATTTGGTGTTTGCAGGAAGATACCTGTTTTAGTTACTTGAAAAATTATTTGGAAACCTTGGAAGTATAACTTGCAATAAGAATTTGCTTACAAGGAATTAATGGGATGTTAATTTATCTTTTGCAGTTTTTCTTGAATAAATGGAATTCATGTTATTTCCTTCAATCTCAAACCTCTTAGAAGAATAACTAGCTGTATTTTCATATACTTTTTCTGATATTTTTTTCTAATTTGGTAAAATTGATGCTGTGAAATTGTCAGATTGGATGATTTAAATGGAAATTCCTTGTTCAACCGCAAACCAAGTGCTAGAGATGCTTTTTCTGTAAAAGAAAAATTTATACAATCAAAGGTATTTGTCATAACCGTGAATTGTATGTAAAAGTTAATCTGAACTGAATCACATTTTATTGTGCATTGCAGTACGTAGAGAAGATTATGATTTCCAAGGAGGATAACCAGCCTGATCTTCCTCCGGTCAACCTCCGCAGCTGGGAAGCAGTTAAGAGCAGTAATATCCGAGCCATGTATCGGCTCCTTGTGGTGTGTGATGCTAATCCTAATACTGTTTTTGATGGGATAAGAGCCATCGGATCTACGAACATTCCGGAGGGTTGTTCCTTACTGCATTTAGCATGCTATATTGGTAATCCTGTCATGGTAGAACTCCTGCTACAGTTCGGTGCCGACATAAATAAAAAGGATTTCGAAGGAAGAACCCCTCTTCACTGTTCTATCTTCAGAAAGAATGATTTGCTTGCTAAATATCTAATTAGAAGGTACTCACTTAAAAGACATTGAGACATTTCACATTTAGCTGCAGTCTTTGTACCGTGAGGTGGTGGAGAGCATCCCTTCATTATTAGACACATGAAATTTTTAGATTTTATTTTATGCAATTTGATGCTTAGATTATTAATTAAAACTAATCTATATCAGATGTAAAATGCATACACAAATATAAAACTGCGATAATCAGAACTTTTGGTCACTACATAATCAGTAATATTAATTAACACTTCATTATACATATGTTTGATGGACACATTTTTGTCTTAAAATACTTTAGATGAACTCTCATGGTACTTGGATCATATTCCTTTAGATTGTCTTAACACAAAAATCACTTCTATGATAGACCTAATTGGCATGAAACGGTATTATTCTCCAAAATTGGTGTATTTTTCTTCGAAGCCTTTGTTCCTTCACTCATTCACATGATTTTATTTTATGAAGTTTGAGTATCATCTTTGTTTTTAATTATTGGTGCAAAACATTATTTCTCCTATCATTGTCCATCTTTTTCAATCTTCAACATTTTGTTTAGTAGATTTGTGATCTAATTCATTACAATATCCCTCAAAACCCTTATGCATCCTTCTGAAAGCAACAATTTTATATTTTATTCAACAGCTCCAGACACGCATGCGGGCGCGCGTGCGCGCGTGCGCATACATAGACACTAAGCAACAATTTTATATTTTATTCAACAGCTCCAGACAAGCATGTGGGCGCGCGCTCGTACACAGACACTAAATTATTATTATTATTATGATTATTATTATTCTCTTAAATCATTTTGTGATATCATTACACAGAGGTGCGAACACATTGATTAAAGACGGTGGGGGCCTGACTTGTCTTGAGAGGGCTATGGAATTGGGAGCAATAACTGATGAAGAGCTGTTTATATTGCTTGCAGGCCATGAGTAAGACAAACCATACCTTCTGCTACTCTTAATATAATGAAGCTTAATTTATATACTCTCAACTACGATGATTATAGCCCTCATTCATTAAAGACTTCGTTCGAGGTGACGGTAATTCCATATATGTATTCTTTTTTTATTTTCTCAATCCCTCCCCTGAATTCTTGAAAAAGCTAAAGCTGTTCTGATATTTGTGATACTTCACTCTACAGCATTAGTCTTTTCAACATTTTTTAAATTATTGCAGTATTCAAAGATTCTGCATGTATTCTAATGTTTGCAGTTCCCTTTCTTTGAATCACAATTGTTTATATATAATGTATCCTGTGAGAAACTGTGTGATTCTTCTCAATTGCTTTCATGGCACATTATTTAAACCTCTCTCTTTGCTGTTAAACTGTTTGCTTGGTATTTAGGATAGCTTTTGAATGTTTTAATTTTTATGAAGTAAGCTTTTGTGTGAAGTAGGGTTCTGTTTTGTTACAATTGAACATGATAATTGCATGGGTGCTGTTTATCTCAGTTGGCAGATTCATTTTGATCAACTGCTTTTTTTTTTTTTTTTTTTTTTTTTTTTTGGAGGTGATATGAAAGATTTAGGGGGTATAAATTTAAAAAGTAAAGTGTAGATGTTTGATATGTAAATAAATAATAATTGGGTGGTGTGGATTTAGATGACACGTAATTGGGTGGATTTGGACTCTAACCAGTTAACTGGTTAGCACAAGTATAACACATTTATTGACTAGTTAATCCAACTCCCAACCAAATAAATTCAATTTCAACTTGGGTCAACTTTTTTGACAAAAAAATGACCAATCAAATATAATCAACATGATGATGACATGCCCTATGTGATCTTGGCTCACCTCAATCAATCTTTGATTGAACACTAAGCCATAATGGGATTTAAATCCACAAAAATGAATATTTTAGTCGCCATGCATGTATACGTTTGCATGGTCATCAGTTGTGAACAAATGACTCTTTTGTTGACTTGAATGAAGACAACACGAAACTGAAAGTTGTAATGTGTCTAATAAAAATTTAAAGCCAACCTTTGCTAGACTGAAATGTAGTTGTCCACATGGAAGGCCTTAGTTTTGTTAGATATTTATGCCACATGATTGTTGTTGACCAGACTAATATTTTAATATAAAAATAATAACCAATTATATATGCTTGTGTTTTCATTATCCCAAATTTTATGATATCATCTTCTTAATTAGGGTTATTTGGATTCGTTCCAGCTTTGAATCGGCTTGATCTAGCTCAAAATCTAAATAAGATGGCCCAAATTGAGTTATTTGGATCTATTTCAACTCGAGACCGGCTAGTAGTTTGTTATATTTGATTTTATTTAGCATTATATATAATTTTTATAAATAAAAAGTAATTTAAGTCGATCTCAAGCCAATTCAAGCCAATCCACATATGTCTCGAAATCAACTCCCAAAAAATTTCAATTCAAAGTCTTGGCTCTTGGTTCGTTTATTTTAATCAGATCACACTTTGAGTTAAAATTAAAATCAATTTTCTTTCTACTGCTTACCATCACGCAATAATTCACATTAATTCTCTTTTTCAATCTATGGAATCCGTTCATGCAAGTTTTTTTTTCAGGAAAGTTGAGCTCAATATGCACGATTTGAACCGCGACCTTGCATTAACAGACTACATCCTCAGTCACTATGTCGCGAATAATTGCACATACATGCAAGCTTTTATTTCATAAATTCACTGCATTTCGGATCCAGGCTAGACTCCGATGCGCCAAACTAATCAAATCATTTCGGCTAATAATATTTAATTAATCATCGTGTGCTTATGTTAATCAGCCGTGTGATTATGCCGCTAAGTAATGGAGTTATCACCTACTGAACCTGCATGTTAATTTGAACTTAAGAAAGAGATCAGAGAAAATATACTACAAAAATCATACTAATTAAATTTAACGCACAATAAAGCCTAAATAATCAGTGATTAGTACTATCATTTTGTTTTATGCTCAATTTGATTTTCAAGTTTATTTTTTTTATTCATCAGCGTTCATCGAAGTTGACTTATTTCAGCTTGCCATAATTATTTTCTAAATTAACTTTAATCCACATCAAATTTTAGATTTACTTAACAATATATATATATATATATATATTGACATTTAAAGATTGAACATTTTTTTATTAAAAATTGAATTACAGTCGATGTCAAAGCTTCCCCCTAAGCAAGCACTTAGAACAAAGATGTAAAATTTCTCAGCCACACAATTAAAATCATATAATTACTAATTTACAATGTCATGAACAACATTATAAGTGACTAAAAAACTAACTAATTCTGCTGCTTTTCCTTTCTTCTTGTGGCTATAAATTAAACTCACAAAATGTATTAAATCTCTTCACTGCCACATAATTAGCATACGCAAAGTAAATAAAATCATTACTCTTCCCCTCCAACCTTCCACATTGCCATCCTTAAATGAACGCACCATGCATCTTCATCAAGCACTAATTTAACCACTACACTAATTAATTAATCACAAAATTGCATCATAGACCAGTAACTACACTGGATTCCAAATGGAAACAAGAGATTTAAAGACAATGCATTAATTACAGCCACAAAATCTCTCTCTCTCTCTCTCTCTCTCTCTCTCTCTGTGAAAAAATTGTTAATTAATTAGATCTAATGATCAAATTTTATCATAATGAAACTTAGAACCATTGATTTACTTCAAGATAAATGCAACATAAATTCTAGTATTGAATAATGATATAATCAATTCAACTCGATATAAGTTTCATACATTTAACTTTCATCCTCATCAAATTTCTTACAAACACATTCTAATTCAAATATTTTGTATACATACATACATACATACATACATACATACATACATATATATATATATAGATATATAAAAAGAGAGAGAACATTTATATACACTAGCTAATACATATTAATACTAGATTAAATAGAAAGTTAATTAAGGAGACCATTAAGTAAGAAGTTTGCCTCTACTATTAGAAATTGTTACCTGCGACAACCGCACGCCTATACAGTGGCAACATGACAGCATCCAGACCATCATCCGAACATAAGATACATAATATTTTTCCTCTAATACAACCCAAGGTTGACTTTATAGAGAAAGAAAATCAAAGATGATAGAGAACGCTCCATATGACCTCTCTTTCTCGAACTATAAATACACATGAATGTAACAACAACCATATCCTGCATACCTGAGCACTACTTTCAAAGCTTAAAAAAAATTAGGGTTTTGTATGCATGACGATGACAACTGTGGAAGGAGAAGGTGGTAGTAACTTGTTGAAGAAGGTGAAGCCATATGTCGCCATGGTTTTGCTGCAGTTTGGTTTTGCCTGTTCTTCCATTATTGCTACTGCAACTCTTAAGCGTGGAATGAACCACTTCGTTCTTGTTGTTTATCGAAACGCTGTTGCTGCTGTTGTTCTCGCTCCTTTTGCATTCTGGTTTGAAAGGTATTCTTATAATACTTAATTAATTATATGATTACATATAAATATGATATTGTTTGGGGAGAGATTAAGCTTAATTATAATTAAATTTTAACATATATATATATATACATATATATTATATTGTACTTATGTCAAAATAAATTCAATAATATAAAATCTCATCTTAACTAAATTTCGGTTATCATCATTCCTTTTTTTTCTTCTAGCAATTAAGCATGTAGATACATATCACCCAATTCCTATGTATTTACATATCTAACACTTAAACTTTACTTTTTGCATTTATACCACACAAATATTTCCTATAACATCAAAAATACCAGCATTTTAGCTTGTAAAAAAGGAGGCATGTGTGCTACAATCGAATTGAGTGGTATGTATGTAAATTCCTATTTTAAAATGACAAAGATTTCAAATAATTATTTATTGCAAAGTAGATTATAAATTTTGTCATTTATAAACTGTTTGGGGCAGCTTATTTGGTGTGGTGGCGTTTTTAAAATACACCTAACCTGTTTTAATAAATTGCGTTTTGGCAGCTTATGACATTGATTTCACACGGCACCTATCTAGGTGAGATAGGTGAGATAGGTGCGGTGACAGCTTTCTGGCAGCGGTCTGATTTTTCCTAAAAAATAAAAAATTTATAATAGTCACCGCGCCGAGCTTATCAGCAGATCATTCAATAAGCTGCAGCTGCCCCAAACAGACCCTTAGTCTACTTCTTTTCCTTATGTCCATTTATATTTTTTACCAAAATATTTAAAATATTTTCACGGACAATACATAGTTAAAATGAAGAGTAGAAACTTACATTTCATCCTAATTTGAGAAAAATATATGACTAAAATATTATTCATTATTAATTTATAAAAATCAATGTTTCGGATGATCTTTACGTAATTATCCCTTAATTTTAAGTGCAGAAAAAGAAGACCGAAGCTCACCCCGATGACCTTCCTCATGATAGTGGGACTAGCCATTATGGAGTAAGTAATTAATGATGATTTATTTCCTTAAACACTAGTTAATCTCGTCCACCTGATTGCTAATTTAATTTAATTATTTGTTTGATTTAACTGATATTAATTATCTTCCACATAAATTTAATGATGTGATATTTCTTTAATTTCAGGCCTGTGATAGACCAGAACTTTTATTACATGGGAAACAAATTGACCTCTGCCAGCTTCACTTCCTCTTTTTACAACATACTTCCAGCAGTTACTTTCATAATTGCTCTTATTCTCCGGTAAATTCCTTATGTAATTATATATGTTAACTTCTTACATTTATACCACCCAAATCTTTCCTAGCATATACATTGAAAGAGTTTCAAATAGCCTGCCATGCACCATGCATGCAACATAGCTACATACATCAAATTATTATTTTTTTATTTATAGGAAAATAAATAACTAATTAATTTAACCTCTGTAAAATGATAAGCAAAACTGGAGCCAAATTTCTAACGTTCATTTAATAATTATTTGATCAAATTTAGGATGGAGAAATTGAAGCTGAGACAAAGACGTAGCCAAGCGAAGCTGATCGGCACAGTGGTGACTGTAGCAGGTGCAGCTTTGATGATACTATATAGAGGACCAATTGTCAACTCCATTTGGTCAAAAAGTGAGACCCTGCACAACACCCAAGGTGTTGACCAGGTGGGCCATGGTGGAGGGACCAACTTGGTCAGTGGCACTTTCATGCTGCTTATCAGCACTGTGGCATGGTCTTCCTTCTTGATATTACAAGTAATTATGTGACATATATTATGTATATTATCATGAGTGATTGGACTTTAATACATATATATATATGATTATATGTATTTGTTTTTATTATTGCAGAATAAGACATTGGAAGTTTATCCTGTTGAGCTCTCCTTAAGCGTTTGGATATGCGCCATTGGTGTGGTGCTAAACACTGTTATCGCATTAGTGATGGAAAGAGGAAGAGCGCAGCCCTGGATTATTGGATTTGATTTGAGGTTATTAAGTGCAGTGTACACTGTAAGTTCGTTAATCTCCACACACACACACACACACACACACACACATATATATAAAGCATCAAATCGAAATATAAATAATGATGTTATATCTGCATGCAGGGTATAATATGCTCTGGGGTTACCTACTATGTGCAAGGGAAAGTGATGAAGGAGAGGGGTCCAGTTTTTGTGACCGCCTTCAATCCTCTCAGCATGATCTTCACTTCTGCTATGGGTGCCATCATACTAGCAGAGGAAATATCTCTAGGAAGGTATAAATATAAATATAAATTGGAAGATTAACACATATACATTCAACTCAATTCTTATGTATTTACATATGTAACACTTAAACTTGAATTTCTTACATATATGTCATCTTATCTATACATTAGAAGATGTCTGTCAATTTTTAAATGTTAAAATAGTAATATTTTTTATGTGACATGAAATAGTATTTTGGTGTAATGAATGCAGAAAGTAAAGTATAGTTGTTTTTTATGTAAATACATTGAATTAGGTGGCTTGTGTGTGTGTGTATATATATATATATATATATATATATAAAAGCCAACATTGAAAATTTCATGATTTTTTTTTACACTGAGTTAGATAATATAGATTTTAATTATTACCTATAATATAGTATATTCATTTAAATGGCTAACTAAAAAGAATATATCATACCAGCTATCTAATCAAAAATAGTTATACAGAGAACATTAGTGATGATCATTTTAATGACAATCAAATTTCTTGTGAATGATTTATGAAGAGTATGAAACATAGTCTATCAAAATCTTGTAACAAAAACTAAAAAAAACATACACATACTTAGAAAGAACCATAAGTTTTATGTGATCATAAATTTCCTAAAATCAAACTTTTTATTTAGGTGTATATTAATAATAAAAAAAGTATATGTGGCCATTACAATAGCTTATCGCCAATGCAATATGAGATAAGATGTTCATAAAACTGTTCTAATTCCTGCTTGCAGAGACTATTTATATGATTTTAATTATTGATCTTTTGATCAAGATAAAAATAACAAATTCTTGCTCTAAAATAAACGTTAAATTTCATTTTATATAATTATTTATAAAATTATCAGGTTATATTATTAACAAATCTATAAATTTCAGAATTCTTGGGGCTATTGTCATAATGATAGGACTTTACTCTCTAATTTGGGGGAAGAGCAATGATCATATAATTTCATCAATCAATTACAATGGTACAAGCAAAGGAGAGGCAGATCATCTACCAGTATCTGTTTTGAAAGGGATCATACCGGATCCTAATGATGACCCCACTTTCATCAAGTTGCCAGTTATAAAGAATTAATCCCTAACAAGCAAGGAATGGTGGAAATCCCATTCATTAATAAGTGCATAGTTGTAGAAACCAGTTGGGGCTGCATACAAATCCTCATCTTGAACTTATATATAAATTGTATCATTTATATGTGTATTATTTATTTTATGCAAATTGTGATTATTTGTTATGTTTTATTAATTTATGTGTGTTAAATTAATAAAGTCGTTAATGTAGAAAAAATATTGAATTCTCAATAGGTAAGAGGAGATCTATAAGTTTTTTCTATGGTAGAGCTATAAGAAAAACACCAATGTTATTGTAATTCTAATCATCTTAAATTTCTAATAATAAATACTTAAATTAAGCTTTAAATCATTAGATCTCTTTTTTTTATCATTGCAATAAAAAATATATTGTTGCATATAAATTTGTTTATGAAATATGCCCAAATTATTCCTATTAGCACCGAAAAAGAAAGAGAGAACAAAATAATTTAACAAAGAAGAAGTGGAATTCACTAAGCATTATATAGTTTGAAGATGATGTCCCTCCAAATAAGAAAGAAAGAGTCAAAAGTCTAAGCCATAAGAGAAAAGGAGAGAGATTTGAAAAAAAAAGAAAAGATCCTTAAAAAAAGAGAGAATCCTAGAGAGGGGTCCTAAAGGCTAAGAAAGAGTTCTTCCCTTTGCACTCTCCAAGATCCTATATTTATAGAAGATTACTACAGTAAAGGCTACATAGTAAGCTATACATGGATAACAAAATACATGACAAGAGATGTATCACATATAATACAAAACATGAGCAATAACATTCACTACATGTAAATCGTATCTAATTTTTGCCACAATCTATGTTATAGTTAACCCAAACTCATCATTATCATCTTTAATTACAATAAAAATCAATGGATCCAAAATTATTTTGAAAGTTGTTATGATTTTGAACATGAAGCTTGTGTTGTTTGCAATATTTTTTACTCATAATATCTGTTGTTTACCAACTAATGGAAAAGCACTGGACATATTCCCATTGATAACTCTTTAAATGAGGAAGGAGCACTAATAGAAATAATAAACAAAGAAAACAATATGTGTCAATTCCAAGAAGAACATATGCTAATCCTCTCACCCCCTCCTCCATCACCCTCCACCCAACCTCCCTCGTTCCTCTCTTATATTCCTCAAATCCATTTTAGATCCTCTTCCTTCAATTGTTACTAATAATGAATAGAACATTACTAATTTTAACTTGGAACATTGCTCTGATCAATCTATTATTATTAATTGCTCCACACATTAGTGAAAAATCAATAAATTTCAACCTAATTCCCAACATTAACTCAAGCATCACTCAATACAACCTAAATGCATTACCTATAGCCTCGCTCGATAAAGTTTTTCATAGCTCTATTATTATTTTCCATGATTTTAAGAAAAATATAATAAGAAGATCCAAAGCTCTCAATCCCTTACCAAAAAATAGCCACTTAAAATAATTATGTTTTTCAAGGTGTTGGAAGAACTCTGAATGCAAAAAATTTATCATCTCAACATAATATTAATCATTTTGATTTCCTATAAATCAAGTATTTCCTTAACTATCTCATAAACTCTATTATTGCAAGGAATAATTTATCAACAAATTAAATTTGGTTTTCTTATTTAAAAAATTAAATTAAGCATATTAAAGATACAATTCACAATATCTTAATGACAGTGAGCTTTAAGAACTAATTTATATATCCTTTTGAACTGTGATGTTCTTCAACCATTTCTTGTGTAAAATGTGTATTGCCTTGCAGTTGTTGGAGTTAGAATTAAAAGTATTTTATTGATATGATTATTTTAATTTTAATTATGTGAATAGGTTATATGTGAGCTTCTTATACATTGAGGATGAGAATGTTATCAGCAAAAATATTGAATAAGGGTTTTCGATATGGTTCAAATTATACATTAGATTAATTAACTTGGCAATCTTGCCTTTACATTTGGAAAATTTAGCTTACTTTTTCCACCTTTATTACTATATTACTTCAATTTATTGTAGATCACTAGCAGGGAAAATAAAAGGATGGTGGTATATTAGCCACTCGGGAGAGGGAGGTCAAGATTAATTTTTGTGATTTACGCTTGAAGGAGATTGAATTAGATAATACACCCACAACACATTTCAATAAAAAAATATTAAAAAAATAACCAAAAATTTACATGAAAGAACAAAAAGAGTATACAAGAAACTCAATTGAAGACAACTGGGATCATTTAAAAAAAGATTGGAAATTGTGGAAGGAATTAAAGTGAGGAGCAACTAGGTTGGTAAGTGATCCCATTTAGAAAATAATGTATGCATTCGAAGAAGCTTTTGGTAAGTAGATATTATTGTAAAATAAATTTTCTAGATTTTTATATCATCTTAATAATGTTATTTTTAAATGTAGATTGTGCCCAACGTAAGAAAATAAGTATTTTGGCATAGACTATAAGCTGGAAAAGAAACTTGATTTGATGGTTGTCATAGCTATAGCTATGGGCTCCAATGTTTGGGTTATAACATAAGCATTCCTTAGAATTTGGATGAGTAGAATATGCTCGTTCAAATGAAGTTCATCAGGAACTGACCCATGAGGTAGGACACACTGAATTTAGCCAATCGAAATATTGTACACTGCAAAGCCAACAAAATAAAAGAAAAGACCAGTGCCGCATTTTTTAAGTGAACGAACTTCATATATAGTTATAACTTGTAGTATGTTGACCTCACTTTTGGTTGAGGTCTAGA